TGTTGTTGCTATCGTTATCATCACCAACGGCATCATCATCATCACCATTGTTATTATTATCGTTGTTATTGTTGTTGTTGTTATTGTTGTTGTTGTTATCTTTATTACTGACGTCATTGCTAGCTTTTATAGAGTTTAAATTATTTATATAATCCAATTTCCAATGGCTGCCATAGCAGTGGATGGCATTAATGTTATTATTGTTGTTGTTGTTATTGTTATTATTATTATTGTTGTTGTTGTTACTGTTGTTGTCATTATTATTATCATTGTAATGATTAACAGCATTATCGATAATAATATTATGGCTGTTTGTTTTGTCATATTCTCTTTTGTATATTACTGTTTTAGTTTTATTGTTATTGACGTTGCTGTTGTTGTTATTGTAGTTGTTGTTGTTGATGCTGTTGAAGTTGTTGTTGTTGTTGTGGTTGTTGTTGTGGTTGTCGATGTTGTCAATGTTGTTGTTTATGACTTGTAGATTATTATTGTTATTGTTTATATTATCGTTATTGTTGTTATTAATGTTGTTGTTAATACCATTGCTATGGTTATTGTAAATAATGTTAGTGTTGTTGTTGATATTGTTGTTGCTGTTGTTGTTGATGTTGTTGTTTGTGTTGTTATTAATATTGAACAGGTTTGAGATTTTAAAATAATCTGTATTAGGAGTTAAACTGTGATTAAAACCATTTAATAATCCTACAATGTTATTATTATTATTATTATTATTGTTGTTGTTGTTGTCGTTGTTATCGTTATTAATGTTGTTGTTAATGGTATTCTTATTATTGATGTTATTTTCTCCATTGTTGTTGTTGTTGTTGTTGTTTTTGTTATCAAAAAAGTTCAAAGCCTTATCTAGAAAGCTGTTGTTGTTCATTTTGAAGTAGTTGTAGTAGTAGTAGTAGTAGCTGCTGTAGTTGCTGCTGTTGCTCTCGTTGCAGTTGTTGTTTAAGAGGTGGTTGTTGTATAATTTGTTTAGTAAGTAAGACTTCTGGTGCTGTTTTGCATTGGGTATTTAGTAAATTTTTCCTCAAAAATGTATGATCCAGTTAATTTTTATCATGAATTCATCATCACCACGACCATCATCACCACCACCATTATCATCATCATCCTCGTCACCACCATCGTCATCATCATCATCACCATCATCATCACCATCACTATCATTATCACCCTCAGCATCATCTACATCATCTTCACTATCGTCATACACCGATGTGTAGATGATGATAGTGAATCATCACAATCATCATCACCGTCATCATCATCGTCGTCATCAACATCATCAGCACCTTCGAACTAACAGATATGGCACAAAGACAGAAGGATTTGAGGCGAGATGATGATGGTGATGAATAATATGTGGCTGGTTATGATTATGATATTCGCTAAAAGGTGACGTCATTCCATTTGTCGGAGCAGCGAATATCGGCTGGCGTTTGTCGGTCTCTCTTACGTCCGATGATAAGGATGATGATGATGAAGAGGATGGCGAACATTCGACTGATCTTTTCGCGCGAGATTTTTTTCGCCGTGACGTCACTGGCGATATTTCATCGTTGTTGTTGTTGTTGATGTTGTTGTTGTTGTTGATGTTGTTGTTGATGATGATGCTGCTGTTGCTGTTTGACGACCGATAACACGTGTTAATGTTGAAGATATAATTGTCAATGCACCGGTTGATATTATTCATGTCATAAATGTAATTGTTGCTGTTGGGAATCGTATCGTTGATGTCATCAATGTCAACAGTGATGTTTTTATTGTTGTTAATGTCATTATTGATTTTGTTGTTATTAATGTTATTTTTGTTGTTGTTGTTGGTGGTGGGATCATTCCCATTGTTGATCTTACTGATATGCATGCTAATATTATTATTACCGTTATATATAACGAGGTTGTTGTTGATGTTGCTGGTTTTGGTGTAATTACATAAATATTTATCGCGTTTTTTATCGTTGATGTCACTATTACGGTGAAAGCAGTTGATGTCATTTGGCTGTAGGTAACTCTCACAACTACTACAGTCGCACGGTACGATCATCTTGTTGTTTAATTCTTTTAAATGTTCCTCAACGAAATTAAATCTGTTTTTATTGCCATCATTATTATTGTTGTTGTTGGTGGTGTTGTTGTTGTTGTTGTTGTCGTTAATGTTATAATTATTATCGCTGTTGTTGTTTTTGCTGTTGCTAAGAAAGAGTAATTTTCGAAGTTTGTTACTTCTGCTGTTGTAAAAATTATTACCGTTACTTTTACTATTATTATTATTGTTATTACCAACGTTGTTATCATTATTATTGTTATTAGTATAATTATTATTAGTAATAGTATCATTATTATTATTATTATTGTTGTTGTTGTTGTTGTTGCCGGCGATGTTATTGAAGTTACCGAGTTCGATATTGTCGCTTATTGAATCAATTCTTATGTGCATACGCTTCTGACAGTCGGCACACGACATGAGGAACTTCGTCACGGCTTCACGCGGTAAGAAGGCGTAAGTTTCTGCTATCTGGTGGAGTTGCGTGGCGTGGCGTGGTGTGGTGTGGCGTGGTGTGGTGACGTGTGGTTGTGCAGGTTATTTTGGTTTTGAATCCGATGATCAGGTACTAGTTTTTTTTATTTTGTTATTTTTTTAAATTTATCAAATTGCTTCTGGCAATTCAAGTTATGTCGTAACATACTCATACAGCCATAATAATTAATGAAAATTATTTAATAATAATATAATTAACGCAATTATATTAACTATAATAATTATTATATATTATAATTAACAATTATTAAAATTATTTCTTTTTTATTTCTCAGTTTAGTATTTAATTCTCAACGCTACCATGAAAAAACACACAATGCAAGTAGAGACACGTCAATCAACACAACACACACACACCCCATGTTATCGGCGGGGTTCTTCTTGCATTCAAACCGGGTCACTACGGCAGCAGTGCCAAGCATCTTAACCATCATGCCACCTAATTAAATAATCTATTTGAAAAATATTTACGTTAAAAACTGACCGCTCTATAAGTCCGTTTCTGGCCAGCGTGCTTCCCACCTCGTCCGTCCATTTCAACATGGACATTGTATATGATGTCAAAAAAATCCTCCACTATTGCAACTCTTTTGGCCGCAACTTTACCGGACGACGCCGATGATGATGATGGCGTTTGTGGTGGGTGTAGTAGCGACGATGGCGATGTCGATGATGGTGATAGTGACGATGGGGATGTCAGTTTTTGTGGGGCTGTTCTGGAAATTTCTTGATGGTTTTTGTCGGTCAGAGTTACCTTTTGGGAGAATTTCAGATTATCTTGTTGAGTTGAAGTTTCAAAATTACTCCCAAATAAAATCATTTTTTTTAATATATTTAATATTGATTTATATTATTAATATTATTTCTATTCATTTTTTCAAAATTATGTCCTTTGTGCCATTATACAAGGTCAACATTGTAAGAATTGTAACAAACGATTATATACCAAAATAAGTGCAAAACGAAACAAAACACAAAGGGTATCAGGCAAACGGAGACGTACGGACACAAACACACAAACATACGGAAAAAATCACAAACGCATATATTCACACACACACACACAAACAGACAAAATCACAAACTAACAGTCAAGCAAGCGCACGAGCAAGTACATTGTTTCAAGAATTACACATCAATAAGCGTGATTGCTTTTATTTCTCTCGACAAACAGCAACAACAACAACAACA